CAAAAAGAAAATGTATTTTGAATTTCGTACAGTTTTAAAGTGAAAATAAAAAAAAAGAAGTGAACTGAAAGTCCTTTTAAAAGACTTTAAATGCTACACACTGAAAACAAATCATCAGCATCAGTTGTTTATTCTTTTGCTTGTTTTTGAAATAATACATTTTGGCCAATCTTGTTTTTAAAGTGACAAATCACAACCCTAACCCTAAATATTTGCTTTTGTCGTGTGCCACTTTACCTGTTAATGTTGTCAATTATCACCGTTTTCCACAGTTTAGTCTGAAACGGATCCATCTTCATTGAAAACTGTGCATTTTCTACGAACAGTTTGAGTCTGACTTTTCTATTGCATCTAAATGAATTGTATAATAAATCCCAAACTTGTTAAATGTAATCCGTAAGCTCATAGAGAATCAGGATCCATCTCATGTTTGCGCTCCCCTCCTTGTTTGCCTCATGTTTTACTGTTGTGAGCTAACCTGATTAAGTGGAGACTATTGGGGCTTCTAATCCGGACTCGGACCTGTAACTGGATCAGGCTCTGCTGGATTAGCCGTCTCAGATCCAGATTAGCCCGGTGGAGAGCGGTCCCCTGCAGGCACACTTCCTGCCGGGCCAGACGGGGGCGGGGCCTGGTCTGACCCCGGCTGCATCTGTAAACAAGCATCAAAGTGGAAGTCATGGGCCGAGGAGGTTGTAGCAGGAGAGGTCTCAGAAGTCGAAGGAAAGGGTTGGTAGTGTGAGATTTCCATTTGTATCGCGAGTTTATGAATAAAATTACAAAGCTTTGGATTGTCTTGGACTGTGTCACAGGCAGAAGACGTGTTTTTTTGTTGATGGTAAAGAAGACACGGACAGAGTTTTGCAAAATGTATGTGTTTTTAAACCATGGATGAATCAAGGTCCTTTCTGGTCTCTCTATGGTCTCTCTCTGGTCTCTCTCTGGTCTCTCTCTCTGGTCTCCCTCTGGTCTCTCTCTGGTCTCTCTCTGGTCTCTCTCTCTGGTCTCCCTCTGGTCTCTCGCTGGTCTCTCTCTCTGGTCTCTCTCTCTGGTCTCTCTCTTGAGTCTCTCTCTGGTCTCTCTCTCTGGTCTCTCTCTCTGGTCTCTCTCTTGAGTCGCTCTCTGGTCTCTCTCTCTGGTCTCTCTCTGGTCTCTCTCTCTGGTCTCTCTCTGGTCTCTCTCTCTGGTCTCTCTCTGGTCTCTCTCTCTGGTCTCTCTCTGATCTCTCTCTGGTATCTTTCTGGTCTCTCTCTCTGGTCTCTCTCTCTGGTCTCCCTCTGGTCTCTCTCTGGTCTCTCTCTCTGGTCTCTCTCCGGTCTCTCTTTAGTCTTTCTCTGGTCTGTCTGGTTTTTCCCTTGTTTTGAGCGCTCCATTAGAAAATATTTAATCATTCTCAAACTAAGATACATTTTTGCCAATTTTTAGCCATTTTCCTCGTGATGGCGCCAAGACATATGTTAACTTTGGCCTTCAGAAAACCAAAACATTACCCTTTTTTTCCGATTATAATTTGCTCCGAAGTAAAAATCGCTCCAGTTGAAAATGCAAAATAAAGAAGGAAAAAAACACATATATAAGTCGCACTAGAGTATGGGTCGCATTATTTGGGGAAATGTATTCGATTGAATCCAACACCAAAAATAGACATTTCATTTTGAGGCAATTTATAATACAAATAGAATAGATACCAACACTACGCTCAAATGAGAGCTGGTTTTGTCCCATTTTTAGTTTTCTGTTTTGGTCCTTGGCATTCCCCGGTGCCTTTGAGGTGTGGAAGACTTGATGGGAGTGGACAGCGGCAGCTTTGATCCCATGTCCAGTGTTCGCGCTGCAGATAATGAGAACCATGTGGAGACAAGGATCAGAGAGGATCATGTGTAATCCCATCACAAAGATCCGATCTGGAGCAGGACTGGACCAAGACCTGTGTCGGACCACTACCTGCTTTAACATGGCCGCTTCCAATTACTTCGGTCGTTTTTATCCCCCTGTACCATCAGAGACAGCCCTAATGGTGTCTCGTTGGGTAAGACAACCGGGGACTGTTAAAGGGACCAATCGGTGTACAAAGATTCAGATTCATTTTAGAGTAATTGCCATTTGCAGTAAAACCCCATTGGAAAACATGTGCAAAAGTCCCCAGTGTGCACCAGACAATGAATAAAACGAGCTAAAAGTCAATCGATCATGAAAAGCAGATCAATAACAAGAACTTTCAAGAGCTTTGTTTGAACTGATAACAATGTGTGGATGTGTCTGTTAGCAAAACGAGATGTCCTGCGTCATTACGAACGGATCTTCTGTAAGAGGGAAGAAGCTGGAACATGGCTCATTGAAGAGACATGGATTGTTTGAAGAGCTGGAGTCTTTCCCCCTGGTCTCTCTCTGGTCTTTTTCTCCAGTCTCTTTTTTGAGTCTTTCTCTGGTCTTTGAACTCTCGGGTCTCTCTCAGGTCTCTCTATGGTCTCTCTTTGGATTCTCTGGTCTCTCTCTTGAGTCTCTCTGGTCTCTCCGTGGTCTCTCTTTGGTCTCTCTTTACTCTCTCTCTGGTCTTTCCCTGGTCTCTCTCTGGTCTCTCTTTGGTCTCTCTCTTGACTCGCTGGTCTCTCTCATTGTCTCTCGCTGGTCTTTCTCTGGTCTCTCTTTGGACTCTCTATTCTCTCTCTTTGGTCTCTCTGGTCTTTTTCTCCGGTCTCTCTTTTGAGGCTCTCTTTGGACTCTTTGGTCTCTCTCTTGAGACTCTCTAGGGTCTCTCTCTGTTCCCTCTCTTGAATCTCGCTCACTTTCTCTCTTTGGTCTCTCTCTGGTCTTTCTCACTGTCTCTCGTTGGACTTTCTCTGGTCCGCCTGGTGTTTCCGTTGTTTTTAGCTCTCATTAAAAAAATATTTAAACGTTGTCAAATGAAGATACATTTTACCAAATTTTAGCCATTTTCTCCTTAGTTTCCACAGCTTTTCGCAGTACGTTTATCAAATCTCGTCAAAACTCGGTCGACCATGTCTCCGAACCAATATTTTGATAGTTTAAAAAAACTCAATCTTCCTTAAACCTATTTCTTTTTCCCAAACACATCTTGAGTTCAGTTTGAGTTCATGCAGTCCTGGCGTCCCGGCGTCTCCATGTAGCGCCTGTACCAACATGAAATATGGATATAATAACATGACTATGGCATTCTTATGGGGATTATTGTATCAAACACATGCAATTTTAATGAAGATTCCCCAATAAAGAACCACGAACAAGCTGCTATTCGCGGAACTGGGCTAAACATTGTTCTCCAAACATCCACAGCTCGGAATGCATTTATTTATTCAAGTTAGGAGGATTAATGTCCGTGAATCACCAAAGAAAAATCTCCTCCGTCCTTCGCGTTAATTGTGTTTTTTTGTGAGCGGTGGATGCGTTTTGATGGAGGTTTTTTCAGCCAATGGTTAATCGGAGTTTACGGTGTGGTTTTGAAAATGAAAGAGGATTAGGAATGGGTTATGTTTTTAAGCTGTGCCTGATGTAGTCGTGTTTGTGTGGCGCTAGCTTAAGCTTTGGTAGGGTTTGGGTCAACAGATTAAGTTTGTTTTTTGTTTTGTTTTGAGGAACTGGAAAAGAGCTCCCCCTTTCTTTCGCTCTTCAAATTTAAGCAGCATTTACAGCCAGTTTTGTTTATTTTGTGTGCTTCTTTTGTGGTCTGTGGCCTGGGGAGGGTGTTGTTGAAGTGGTTTTACAGGCGCGTGTCATTGAGTTCTACGGCCCCCTACTGGCCTGGCGTTAGAACTACACACTTAGCACTTCGAATCCGCAGTAGGGTTGTCTGTGCAAATTGCTTTCCTGCGTCTTTGTGTAAACAGGGCCTGAAACATCCATCCATCCATCCATCCATTTTCTACCCTTTAATCCATTTCTGGGTCAGGGGGGTGGCAGTCAGAGATGCCACCCAAGTCTCATAGCACCAGCCCCTCACTGACCCTCTGCAGGTGGTGAGTCCACAGGAGGACGGCTGCTCTCTGAGTGTGAGCATAGCCTTGATCTTTCAGTGGGGGCTTTTTGGGCAAAGTGGGGTTAAGTGTCTTGCCCAAGGACACAACGACAGCAGTCATCAGTGGGAGTCGGTGGAGAAGGTGTAGAGGTGGGAATTGAACCCACGACCTTCTGGGCTTAAGGCCAATGCTCTACCAACTGAGCTACTGTCGCCCCTTGGCCTGGGCCTGAAACAGTCCACAAAATTCTGTTTTTCATCTTGATTTGAAAACATTTTGACAGTGTATTGTAAGTTCTATCGGCAAATCTTGTTTTAAGCCAAATTTGGGCATTTTGTTCAACTATTTTTGGGATTATTTGTTGTGTAATGTTATACCCATAAAATAATCTATCATGAAACCTATTATTATCCGTATTTTTCGCACTATTAGGCACACATAAAAGCCTTTCATTTCAACCATGCACCCTATAATCTGATGCACCTTTTATATGAAAATAAAGGCATAATTTGACAGTGTACCTTATAATCAGGTGCGCCTTATAGTGCGAAAAATACAGTATTCATAACATAACATTATCTTTTGAGGAGATTCTGGTGCCCCCCAAGCTATACTTATACTGTACAGCAGCTGTAATGTTTTTTATTTTTCTGTGCATATTTTTTTTCAATATGCAATATACTGGGTGCATTGTTTTTTCTTTTTTTTTTACTCTGGGTCGTATTGTAATGTGTCCCTAATAAACAGTAATAAAAATAATAATAATAGTAATAAAGGTAGCAGACCCGTGCCGTTGGCTGGACCTTCCAACTGGATTTCTCGTGCCTTTGTTCAATGCACTTTATTCCATAGATCTGTGTTTGCATTTCCAACATGCTTTTGGTATTCTCCATCTCACGTTTTCCATAATCCCCATTTGTTTTGGAGCAGCACAAAGGTTAAAGTCGTCTCTTCAACATGCCGGTGTGTTGTCCGCTCGCAAACAGGAAGTGTAGTCCCCTGGGAGTTGTAGTCCTCTGCTGAATGCTAAAACGCCGCCGTGCCGGCTTCATTCTGGGCACGCTCAGTGAGGACCACACCAAGGCCCTGTTTCACGGCCGACATCCTGAAAATCCCCCCAAAACCCCACATCCACCCCCTGGGGACTGGCAGAGCAGCGCGGAATGAAAAGTACTGCGAGAACTGCTTTGGAGGTAATCCTGGGATAGTCCGGCGTGTCCCAGTGTACGCACGGCTGGAGCTGGTGCAGACCATTTTCTGGTTTGGACTAAAGTTACCTGGTTAAGGGTGTCGCATTGTATTTTACTGTTAAAATAATGCACATGCTTGACCTGTAGTAGTGTCTATGGTGAAACAAGTAATACAAGGGTTTAAAAAGGCCAATCAGGAAGCTGTTGGGTTGAACATGGCGTAACTAATCCTTGCCTTTTAAGATGGCGTCTTTCTTTTCACAATTTGAGATAACTCACATTCACTTTAATGGATATATAAAAACCCCCTAACCCTAACCCTCCATCTAGTGATCTAACTTTCAATTTTCATTCTGCTATTATCTAAAACGTCTTACTTGTAGATTAAGAAGGGGAAGGATATGCTTTTGCTTCTCTCACTCCCTTTTCCCTTTTGAACATGTGAATGGAACAGAAATGGAGCTTTCGCGAAAGTTCACCGTGGTAGACCCGGCTGTTGCTGCCAGGCCACAGGCTGCTCTTCCTCGACTCATCAATACCAGCAACGCCCACACCCAGTCAACCAATAACCACCAGGACAGCAAGTTAAAAGCCGGAGACGCCCACTTCCCGATCTTCTGAAGTCTGCAAGCCGCCGCCGCCCCACCTCCTCCTTCTCGCATGAAGCGTGTTGCCTACTGCCTCTGCCGTCACCAGTGCCTAGGCCCCGGGGGATCATGCACGCGAGCAAGCGCCGTGCTCAACAGCATCCCGCCCGGGCCTAGGGCGCCAAACATGCTCAATCAATAAACATGCTTAAATCTAATAAGTCTAATGCGTTCCTCATGGGTCTCTCCAAGGTGAAATATGGTTTTGTTTGTATGATTATATATAAAGTATGCACACAAGTTTCAAAATAAACAAATTAAATTAAGAGGCTGCAGTACCACTTTTGTCCAGATTTTCACACACTGCTCCTTTAATTTCAATACATAATTCCCAGTTTAAAGAGTTCCCATGGTTTCCAAACTCCATCAGTAGTAAAGCAGGTCAAAATCAGACAAAGGCGATGCTTTATTCCGGCAGGACGATCAGGACACAAGCTCACGGTGTGCAGAGTGTGTGTCCTTCTGTCCTCAGCAGGGGGCGCTGTTTAAGCCCGAGCCTCCATCTGGTGCACAGGGCTGCAGCTGACCCACGCTGACCCCATTCAACATGTGAGCGCCGCGGCAAGGACTGGCAAAGGCAAATGTGGACCGCACTTTATGTTCAAGGAGATATAGGATGTGAAACATAAGAAGTAGTCAGTTTTTGAGATTTTATCCGTGTTACAACATTCTGCCCTCATCATAAAATGCATTTGCGTTTAGCTCAGCCCATTCTAATATCTATAGATTTAGTTGAAGATTTGTTTAGCCTAATGCAGTTCCATGTACAGTGACTTGCCAAAGAACCAAAACCATCTAACCTGACAGAACGTACGTTGTTTGGTAAAGACGAATGGGAAAAACTCGCAGTTTCTAGATGTGCAATATTAGTAGAGTAGTTGCTGCAGAAGCGGGTTCCATTAAGAATTCACTTGAAAGCCACAATTTTCAGTGTAAATCCTGTAATCATTTCTTTCACATATCAGTTGTCTGCTAATTTGTTGTACTGTAAAAACTAAAATCCAATGTTTAGTTTTGGACGGTATTAAAGCAACAATAGTTACGCCCCAGAACAGATATGGGGACATATTTACGGCTAAGTTTAGCTAGCTCGGGCTAACCCTTGCTAGCTTTACAGTCATGCTCTGACTCAGAAAAGAGAGATTTAGTAAAAATCAACTTTAAACCATCTTAAAACAATGCTCTTCATCACTAACAGACCTGGAGTTGTTTTTAGAACCATACACATCATATCGCCCCTTGTGTCTTAATTCTCTCGCAGTTTTCTATTTGCATCAAACTTATGGCAAATGACGTCCTTTCTATTGGAGGTTTCCAACAATACGCAAGGTTGTGGTCTGCTTTACGCTATAGTCCTCGACCTCATATTTACATACAGATCAATACAATAATCATACTCTAATAACAAAACAGTGCAGGCCCCGCCCCCTGCTGTGTGTCCATGTGTCTGTCTGTAGAACACAGCGGGGACAGAGTAAACATATGCTACAGTCTCATACACTTGGGACTCTCAGGGACGAAACTCTTGTCCTATGTGTGTGTGTGTGTGTGTGTGTGTGTGTGTGTGTGTGTGTGTGTGCAGAGATTATTACTGTGGTTATGCAGGAAGACTACAGTTTGTGGAAGTCACAGGGGACGATGTTCTAGTCGTTCCCAGTGTCACTCACACACTCGCACTTGTCTCTAGAGAGATTGGTGCACGTTTGAAGCAGTTCCATTCTCCCCTGGCTCCTCTGACCACTTTTACTTGCATTGTTGTTGAGTTGTGTATAGGCATTTTTGTTCAACGAGACTGTAAACAAGTTCTGTAAGCCGACACGACAAACGTATTTATTTAGATTTAATAAAAAGAATCAATGATTGATCTATATCGATCGATATTAATCACTTAACATTTCTACAACAACAAAAAATTACATAGAAATAAATGTAAAGTTACAGAAAAAGTCACAAAGTTATGGAGAGCAAGAAAGTTCGAGATAAACTTAAAGCTGCCAAATTGACTGCTCTGGGAGTTCGAGAGTTAATTCTGTTGAAATTAGGCACCAGGGTTTTAAGAGGTTTTGTTTTAGTCCAAATTTTTAAATACTCTATTAACTTGTCAAACATGTCAGTAGCAATAACAGCATTAAATTATGTACTGTTAAAATATATCCAAAACATTAAATATGAGAAGGTAGATGGTCCTATAGTGTGGTATATAGTGTGCGGGACGTTTAGTATCTGTTCCAGGAGTAAAAGCAGCCGTGGGCAGCTGCAGCGGCGCGGGTCACAGGTCAGGAGTTACACAGACAAGGACAGCCCCAGGACACGCCTATATTTAAGCAGACTGGGGACATCCTACACACACTCCTGCCTGTATGTTGACCAGCCAGGGACATCCTACACACACTCCTGCCTGTATGTAGAACAGCCGGGGACCATCTTACATACGCTACTTGACATTCAATGCCTTTTATGGACATTGGTCATCCGCCCCTTATGGACTCATGGTTTGATTCTCTGATCTGCGTTGGCGAATCGACAGTTTTGTAAAGTCCTCTGAGATAACGACTGTTGTTATTTAGGGCTATACAAAAACACACTGAATTTAACTCCTGCCTGCATGTAGACCAGCCTGTGAAACATATTGATATATTTATACATACTGGAGACGTCCTACACACACTCATACATTTATATAGTCTGGGAACATACTACACACACACACACACACCTATATGTGTACAAACTGGGGACATTTCACACACACTCCTACCTGTATACCAGCCATGAAACACAAAAACATAACTAAAAGCTTAATTGTTTAAATATTCTTGTGTATAATGATCTTTAAGCTGCTCATGAAAAACATGATGGAGCAGATGAAGATACGTAATTCATGCACACCTCAAAGAGAACTGTAGCCACCAAATTTCAAGTTGGTTGCACTATGGAAAAACCACAGAAAGAGCTGTTTTAATTAAACTGTCTCTCCAGATCATCATCAAGGGCCAAAGTAAACAAATAAAGCAATAGTAAAAGTGGCTAATTGCAAATGCATGACAAGAGCTTTACAAACCATCACAATATGTTTAAAATGTGGCTCAAAAAAGACAATTGCCCCCGAATCCCCTTTAAAAAGACACCAATATTCATCATCATTTACATTCCACCTTTGCCAACGGGGAATATGTGAAGTTCAAACACTGGGGTCTATATATACACATCGCGGGGACGGCATAACCTCGTGGACATACACACGTGCCTATATTTAGACACAGAGTAGGACAGTGATTCAGTGGGGGACATGAAGGACTAAAGGACTAACCGCGGTGGTGACATTGCACAGTGTGTGGACGGGGTAATGGGCAGAACACAGAACAAAACATACATCAAGTCACCTGAACACACAACATCAACAGCTTTTCGGATTGATTCATTTCTCGAGCCAGAATTAATTAATTAAATAACGGCTTAGATTGTTAGAGAAATATATTTTTTTATTGCTGTATTTTTCACGTAAGCAGGAAGAACAGATGCTAATCATGCTAAGCTAATGCAGTTTTGTTGTCTGCTTTTCATTTTAAAATTAAGATAAGGGGAGTCTTTTGTTTTGTTCCACATTGGGGAAATTCCAGTGTTGCATCACCAGTTAGTGGGAATGAGGAGCACACAGCACAAGATAAGAGCAGCAAAACATGATGAAATATGAAGTAATCTCTGCTTGAATCAAGTGGTTTTTAATCTTCATTCGTATGTATTAAAACAAGATTCTTCAATGAAACAAAGCCACACTTCACTCCGGATTGTTGTCTTGGGCTAATTTCCATCCGTCGTCCCACAGTCACAGTCACCACCACACACTCATTCACCCTGAACTATAGCACATATTTGAAGTGTTAGGGGAAACCGGAGCACCCGGAGGAAACCTACGCAGACATGGGAGAGAACATGTAAACTCCACTTAGAAAGGCCCTGTTCCCATCGGGATTCGAACCCAGGACCATCTTGCTGAGAAGCGAGAGAGCTAACCACTCAGCCTCCATATTGCCCTTTCTATTCTTATATCAAGAACTGCTGCTTTTTTGTATCTTTTTAAAACAAGATCATTTTGCTTTGTCCCATCGGTAAATCCCGGTCAGAACAGGGTCTTTCTGAGTGGACTTTGCATGTTCTCCCTGTGTCTGCGTAGGTTTCCTCCGGGTGCTCCGGTTTCCCATACCACTAAAAACATGCACAATAGGTGTGAATGTAAATGAGAGAGTGAATGGATGGTGTTGGAGCTGATGGTCCAGTGTGTTCTGGACTCACTTCTGTCATCACCGTGTGTGGAAGGATTGGAACAATATCTGACTCTGAACTTTGTAAAGTGCTTTGGGTGACCTTGGTCTGTAAAATGCGCTATATAAATAAACATTACTACTTACTACTACAAAATATTGTTTTAAGGAAATTTTTGACTTATTTTTCATCACTTTTTGCAGTGTAAACAATATACTCTAAACACCAAAACAAATACAATCTCTGACTTTAGCACAATAACAGAGCAAGTATAAAACACCCCATTCTAATGCAGGAAATATACAGTTGTATGTATAACATCAAGTCTGCCTCTGACTCAAACGACTTCATTAATTAATCTCGTGTATGCAGAAAATCAAGATCATTCATTTTCAAAGCATCCCATCTATTCTCTTCCAACTTCCAGCCTCCTTCTCTGACATAGTTCCCCGTGTCCGCGAGCTGTTGAGCCTGGGATAATCTTCCCTCATTCTGCGTTCTACAACTGGGCCAAAATGTCAAATCGGATGCTTCACATAACTCATTACCGATTACATACAGTACGAGAGCGCGCCCACGGGGAGAAGGCCGGAGTCCAGAGATCAGAGGTGGAAGGCGGCCACGCAATCGCCCAACGGTGATGTCGTAGAGGTCCGGCCTTCCCATTGGCTCCTGCAGGATAATGAGCCGCGGTCCAGCCTTCCTATTGGCTCCCGTCGGGGATCGTGAGTGACGGTCCAGCGGGTTTATAATTAGGTCAGATATTGCAGCGTTTATGGTCTGAGGGCCGCAGGGATCAGGCTAATGCGACTCATTAGAGACTGTAGAAATGTAATTTTTATTGTTTATGAAAGTGGACGATGCTCTGCTTTGTACTCTTTGCTCGTAAGTTTTCATACCCGGGCAGAATGTTTGCTTTCATGGCCACTTTTGGAGACACTTATGAAAGATTGCGGCACGGTGGCTGAGTGGATAGCACTCTCGCCTCTCAGCAAGAAGGTCCTGGGTTCGAATCCCGGTCGGACCAGGGCCTTTCTGAGTGGAGTTTACATGTTCTCCCCGTGTCTGCGTAGGTTTCCTCCGGGTACTCCGGTTTCCCCTACCACTAAAAATATGTCCAATAGTTCTAGCATGCGCCTCCTGTACTGGCCCCGCCCCCATCTCTGTGTGGAGTGAGAGACAAATGCCCAAAATTAACAATTGTAAACCGCTTTGAGACTCAGATCGGCAGTGAAAAGGCGGTATATAAATAAAGATTACTTACTACTTACTACTTTTTCTTTGATATACAGTACGTTGTTCTTTAATTAAGGTACAGAGGAGGACTCTCTTCCTCCGGATGGATTGTCAAGATTATTGGTCCTCCCAGTTGTCAATCAGTCTGGTGAAATGTGTTAAGACCAGAAAGTTTTGCTCAAAAAGTGGAAAGGGCGGTTCTTTCCTAAAATTTTGGAAAATCCTCCTGTATACCTTTAAGCTAAAGATAGATTTAAAGTTTTTTTTTTTATATAGAGTTGTGCTGTATTTAATTATCATTTGTGTTGTGTGCTTCTCATTCCTACTTGGGCTAGGAATTGGTACAGTAAACGTGACGATTTGATAGTATTACGATATTTGGGCCACAATCCAATATTATCGCGATTATTAACACATTGTGATACAGCAGGTATTGCGATTCGATTCTGTGATATATTGCGATTAATGTCCCTCATGTTATTCAAAGGCATTACAAAAAATCTGAGGAAAATAAGACTAAACCTAAATGTCACATTTGTTTTGGTCTGCACATGATCTGAAGCAAACACACACAAAGTCACAAAAATCAGACACAAATTCTCCGAGCGAACTGACAAAAGACACACGACTGAAAAAAATAAAATAATGTCGCAATATTTTTCTCAACTGTATTATCTTAATTGTTTGTGCTAAATATTGTGATACTAAGCAGAATTTTTTTTTTTCCCCACTACTAACTCTTACTGTCTCTAACTTGTGATTTGTGATGCAACACTGACATTTCCCCACTGTAGGACGAATAAAAGATCTCTCTTGATGATAACACAAAAGCAAAGTTCCAACAGAAACAACCCCAAATGAAAACGATCGCGGTCGACACTCCCCGGTCTTTTTGGCTTCATGAGTCTGGCCACAAATCTAAAATTACGTCCATGTATGAGCACAACTGAAATACCTTGGAGTCATAAGGGACAATGTCAGGTTTTTTTGGGTTTCGTCATCATTGTGTGGTGAGAAAAAAACGTGCAAGGCTCCAAAGTTGCCTAAAAAAATCCAAAACACAGATTGATGTATCCAATATGGCCGCCACAGTTGCCATAGCAGCACCACAGAGGCTCTCTCTAGTCTCTCCTCTCTGTCTATCCTGTCATTAGCTCAGTCCTGTTGCTTTTGCATCCTGCGTCTGTCAGATCAAACAGGAAGTGCAGTGGACCGGATCAGCTGGTGCACGACCTCGCCACAATAAAATCACATGCATATACACACACACACACACACACACACACAAACACTCACACGCACACAAAATCAGGCCTCCTCTCCTCAGCGATCACAAGACTCAGTCAGGTGCAGTGAAGCCCGGAAAGGGAAGGATAGACAGGACAAACCAACCAAACAATTGCCCTTTCAAGTCAATTCAGCAGTTTTTTCAGAGCAACATCAGTGGAATACAACTATTGTTGTAGTTCTTCAAATCAAGTGTTTTTAAAGCACACACACTTATCATATACACGGATTTTCTGTCACTACACTGTACTTTCTGGACTATAAGGTGCAGCTGTTTATAAACCACATCAACTAAATTTGAAAAAATAAAAAAAATTCAATATTGTCCACATATAGGCCACACTTGAATATAAGCCGCGGGTTTTCATGTTGGAATGTAGCAGAGAGACTGTTTTAACGGGTCACAATATGATTTAATGGCGACGTATAAAAGCTTAACCGTTAGCTTCCCTCACTCATTCACTGATAGCTACTGCTCTGACCACGCTACCACAAGAAACATACACATATAAGCCTCATCGCTATATAAGCTAACTATAGAAAAAGTAGTGGCTTATAATCTTGAAATGACGGTACAGTAAAGTGACTTTTACAGTGGGTTGCATAAGTTTCCACCCATCCATCCTTTTTAACATTTTGACATTTTAGGACCACAAACATGAGTGTATTTAGTCGAGAATTCATGTGAAAAACTAACACAAATGTGAAATGAAAATATTAAATACTATTACTTCTATACATGCATTTTGTATGTGATGATTCGGCATATTTTTATTATCAATACAAATATACAGTAATGTTTGATTCACATTTTTTTTATATCTTTATGGTCTTACTATTCTATCGTGGCCATACCTGCAGGTGAAAGCCAGATCGCATCAGACCTCGGAAGCTAAGCAGGGGCACGGCCTGGTTAATACTGTGATGGGAGACCTCTGGGAACAGGTGCCACAGTGGGGCGGCGGTGGCTGTAAAGTGCCAAACTGTCACTGTGTCCTTAGGCAAGACACTTCACCCACGTTAGAATGAGTCTGGTGTGTGTGGTTGGTGGTGGTGGTGGGAGGGGCCTCATTTCTGTCAGTGTGCCCCAGGGCAGCTGTGGCTACAGTAGTAGTACATCACCACTGTGTATGGAAGCATTATTATTAACAACATTGCGACTGATCAAAGTTTTATCTCCTCCTACGTTTTCTGTTTCAAACCAAAGCTGCCACTATTTCATATTCTACTGACTACAACTGACTTCTACTACTAATTTTCTGTCTGGGTCATTTTAGAGTTTGAAAATGAGACAAAACAGATTGCGAGGGGAAAAAAAGTGATATATTTTGCCTTTTTGCCTTGAAAATGAGTCAAGAGTTCTGATCCGCCTCTTCAGCTGATTACAAGGGCTTTTACGAAATCAGGAAATGGTGTCACTCTCGCATATCTGAGCCATTTCCTGAATCCAGCTGCGATCATATGGTTTACACAAGAGGAGAAGGAGATAAACAGTCATATTTTTATTGATTATTTATAATGTAATGTCAGGAAATGACATGAAACCACACACTTCCATTAGTGCAGAGTAGGAATCAACAAGGACAATATGTATTTACTGTATCGTAATGAACCAATAGGATCTCTTCACTCTTATTGACTATCTTTGATGTTTTGTTTGACATAAATATATATTTTTTAAGTAAATTAATGCATGTATGATTCACAGCAAATTGTAAAAAAAAGAAAAAAATGTCATTTATTTTTGAGTGTTTGACTTGAGAGTTCTATTGGTCAAAACCATAGACCATAGTATTTACGCCTATCTCCGCCGTTCTAACTAATGGGCCAAAAATTGGGCTTTCGTAGCAAGATTCAAAATGGCCGCGGGGGCTGGAAAATTTGAAAAAAAAACGCGAGCCTCATTCATTTAAACGAGTGCCTTCAAAAACTCACCGCGACTAAACTAGACTGGTCCAAAAAAATTCACCACCCTCAGCATTGACACACATGTGGAACGGAGCTTTGGGCCAAGAGCGACTTTTAGACCATCCTGTAAAGACGTTTTTGAGAGGTAAGAAGATGCTATATGTTTGCATTGGCTAACATATAGCACATGTCATTTTGCCCACTTTTGAGCCGGGACCCGCCCCCACTGGTCAAAACATCTTCCGTGCTCAACATAACAAGGCAACAAATAGTATATAAAAGAAAAATTACATAGAGAATAAGTACACCAGATTTAAGATTAAGAGATCAAATATTCGTCCCACAGTGGGGAAATTTCAGTGTTGCAATCTCCAGAACATTAGGAATGAAGCGCACACAGCACAAGATAAATGAACAATAACTCTATCTCGAAATGAAATGCATAAAAAGGAAGCAAATCCAACAACTCCAACTTTAGCTTAAAGTAGCAATATGTAAGACTTTCATGTCAAGTCATCATTAAAGGGCCCTGTCTGCCATATTTGAAATTCAACATTAGTTTTACAGCCCCTAAATTTTGTTTTCATTTTGATGTCCCGCCCTTCACGGTTTTGCCAATCAGAAAGTCTGTGATCCGGGCGCCAGAACTCACTGCGTCGAGCTAATCTCACTGGTAAAGTAACATGTGGCCTAAAAAAGGTCTCGTGAAATTGTGAAATCGTGAAATCTTTGTGAAAAAGGTGTTGGTTATAGATTTGTTGTTGACAAAACTCTTGTCTATTCAGCTGTTATGGTCCCAGCTGGATTCGTCTGCATATCTGGCAACCTGAGTCAGGGAGAGTGGGAGAGGCTGCAGTACCACTTTTGGCCAGATTGTTTCCATACTGCTCCTTTAAGGAAGAAGCAAGAATTACTTATCACTAAATCTACTATTATCAACATTTACAAAATCGCTGACATTAGCGTAAGACGACGGTATAACATCCCGTTTGAAAACAGAACGTTTTAACAGACAGGGCGGGGGTACGTGTTTGCGCCTCCTTCCTCTCTGACAGCTGCAACAGACACACTCCTGCCCCGCGCTCAGACCTCCTGCTGCGTTACTTCAGATACTTCCACCACCCACACACCTCTCGCTAAAACTACTCAGGGGAAAATAAATCCACACCGCGAATACATCTGATAAAGTCTTTAAACTCCACAGCATCACAAGCGGCAGACTGCTTTTCTTTTTC